CGACTGGCCGAGATGAGACTGGTCACGACGCTCAACCTCATGTTCGACAAGTTCCAGTGGGACGCCACGGTCACGCCCAGTCCGGCGCACGAGACCTTTACACGGACCTGGCTGTGACTGCAGTCTGGACGCGTCGTTGAAGATCCAGTTCTTGCGCTTGATTCACAACTTTTGCGACCGCGACTACAGCGACAATAGCAGCAAGTTGCTGCTGCTCAGTGAGCACGAGATCCAGCTGATGAATGAAGGCGGCTCGACGTCTATCAACCTCGACCACGCGGACAAGGGACTGCTGTCCAAGATCATCCACGCGATGATAGAGCAGCCAGTGGACTCGATCTACCGCTTCTGGCTGGACTCGTGTGTGGAAGCCTTCTTGCGGCGTGCGGCTCCGAGTGAGCAGCTCTTCGTTGCGCGTACACCTCTGCTGAAGGCGCTGATAGCGGAGATTCTCAGTGGAGGCGCGTACCCTTCGCAGGGCAGCTTCCAGTCGGCCTTTGATCTGCTTGGAGAGATGACCAAGGGCAACCGAGAGACGCTGCAGCTGTTCCATGGACTTCTGAGCAACACCCAGTTCGCGACTTTCATGGGTACGTTCGTTTCGTTCCACTGACTGGTTCTTTACTGGTATTTAAACTGACGCACTCTTGTGTGCTCGTGGTCGTACAGAAGTGGTCCTTTTGAACTTGGTGGACTCGAATGTGTTCATCCGGTCGATGCTTTTGTCTTGTGAGAAATTCGCAAAGCAGCCGGAGAGCGGGACGTTTGGCGTGGCTGACGACTGCGAGATGGACCGCATGAGCGAGTTCCTGGCTGTGAATCTGGTGCGGCTGCTGCGTGATCTCATGACGATCGTGACGATGGACGACATCAACCACGAGAACATTTGCTGTTTGAACACCGCCATCGTGATCCTCGTGTTCCAGCATCGTCGGGAGCGACTGCCAGCGATCCTGGAGGCCCTGCGCGACCACGAAGTTAAGACCAGGAAGAGCAGACCGAGTGTAGTTAGCTTGTTGTTAGTGAATTTATCAACAAGACTGCTTACTGCGCTACAGTTTTAAAGGAAGACCTTGCACGCGCGGAAGGAGCGCAATAACTGCATCACTCATTTTCTCGGGCTGGGCTTTATCACTTATGCAGGGGCGGAGGGCTCAATTTGGGCCGGGTTTGTTGATTGCGCTGCGACGGGTTCTTACGAGTATACAAATGAAAAGTATACGGGTCACTGACCCGGGGTCAGCAACGAGTAAAAATGGAGTAGAATTGGAGAACCAAGATATAAGAGGGATCGGCTGGACCTCATCTCTTCAAATAAATAATGGTGGCATTGGTGCTTTTTACTATGGCAAGTCATTACTGTCAAACTGTACTGTGAAAAGTAAAACTTAAAGCTTCATTCGATAAGACATTGGAGAGAATCCGTCAAAGTAAGCACGATCGGCGAGCGCGAAGCCGGCGACGGTCCCGGATAAGCACGAAACCCGGATGGGGTGGTCGCAGAACGGTGGAGAAGTGGGTTGCCACCGACCATTCGCCTTTACCCGCCGTTTGCTCA